TTGTATCATGAGCTTTTCACAAGTATTGATGAGTGTTTGTCACAGCCTACAGTCATAGTATGGGTATGTCCTCATCTTTCAGTGCTGGCTGCTGAGCCAGAAGGAAATGGTCCCACTCCCGGATCTGGTCACAGGTGAGTCCCCAGCTGGTGAGAGGCACTGTCAGGGATGGGGAACACCATGATGTCCCTGTGCAAGGAAGCATTGCTGAGCTGGTGGGTCTGGGTCTGCTAAAATTGTAGTGGCTGGAACTGAGGAAGAGGGAACAGGAAACACAGCAGAGACAGGGAAGAGGAGGAGCTGGGCTTCAAGGATGGACTGAGGAGGATCGTGCCGTGAAGGTATCTGTAAAGAGAAAAAGTTGGGAATCAATAACTTGGCTGAATTTCCTACTCATTACTTTAGGCTAATTTGGAAAGAAATTTTTCAGCTAAAATGGCCAAGGTACACATAAAAATTAGACATATAAAAAAGAGAAAAACCTTTTAAAATGTTATTTTGCTCAGAGAATTATCTTGAAACTTCAATAAGTGGCAAGATGATACCACTTCTGTGTCAGACTGCCTAGGGAGATGTAAAAATTCTTCCATGCACCTGTAGTTCATGCATTAAAACATCCAGTTTGAAACATCCCTCGGAGAACTTACCCATCCTAGCAAATCCCTGGTACACTGGGAAGAGCTTTTACATGGAAGTAGCTTTAGTAGAAATATTTTTTCACAAGCTGCCTGCAAAGATCCCAGCAGGGACCTGAGCATCCTGCTGCCACTCATGGGTGCCTTGCTGAATGTATCTGCTCTCCAAGATATGGTAAGTGCTGTCAGGGAGTTTTCTCACCCCTCATTACCTGAGGCTTCCCCCTCATCCCATGCTGTAGGGCACAAAAATCATGGTGCTCAGGGTGTGAAGGAGAGCCCTGGCTTGCAGGAGGCTGGAAGCAGAGTGTGCTGCAGAACAAGCCAAATCTTGTCTTGCCTACGGAAATTTCCAATCCTGCAGCTGAGGCCCTGCCAATGCCTGCCTGCTGCAGAGGGGAGACAGGCTTATTCCTCACCTATGCTGCTGGCTGCAGGGCTCCCCACAGCTGCCCCCAGATGCTGCCAGGCAGGATGACTCTCTACATAGCCCAGGGAATGCAAGGTGCAATTTCAAGTTTAAATCAAATGTGCATGTGTGCATGCAGAGAAAGAGACAGGAAGACTCACCTGCTTTTAGAGGTAGCTTGTATTGGCTGCCTGTTTATTTGATGTGTCCTTTCCAGTTTGTAAGCCAGTATCTGTTAGAATGCAGTTATCTGAATGTTTTTATTACTATTTTAAAAATGGTTGTTTCAGGGTGTGAAATGTAGTGGAGAGGGAACAGCAACTCCTTCCTATGTCCTGACGGAAATGAGTTCAACGAGTAGGATGTTGAGTGGAGATGTGCACAGCAAGGTGTGATGGCACAGCAGTATGGCTGGAAATGCCACCTGCCAGGACAGCAAGAGGCAGCTTTTACTCTCAAGTATGTTTTGAGGATATTTGAAACCTGTGTGCTGTGGATGGACTAAAGCATCCTGCTGGGAAGCAGCTTATGCTGCTGGCTCTCAAGGGGCCCCATCAACTCTGACAGCAGGGTTACTGCTCCATTTTGGGACACAAACTGTGGTGTTCAGGGTATTCACACTGGGATTGCCCAGCTACAGGTGGTTATCTCCCTCCATCCTCTTTTTAATCCTTTCTTTCCCTTCTGTGGCATTCAATTTGATAGTCAGCAAGAGGAATAATAATTAATAGGCCGTGTGTGTTTTCTATCATCACATTGTTAAACAAATGAACAGATGACAAACTAATTTCCATAGTGCTGTTTCAGCAGTGTTACTTGTTTCTTCTCCTATGAAACTGGAGTTCGAACTTCCCAAGGCCCCAAACACACATTGAAGTGTTCTCAGCTGTGAGTAAAGATTCCCTCCAGTCCCTGTGCAGTGTGCTGGTGTACAAAGTGACTTCAACACTGTACTATGCAGGATCTGATGATCCATGTGGCAGAGAGTGTCTGTAATCTATACCATGCGGTCACATTTCAATACCGGGAGCCACTGAGATTAAAGTCATGATTTAAACCACTGGAGTAAATATAGTTTTTACATTAGCGTGTTGCAGATCTAACTTGAGGGATTATGTCACAGGATATTTTTTCTGAATTGTCTCAAAATCTTCAAGGCCTCCCGGTTATTACCATGGTGATCTTGCTCCGACTCAGCACTGAAATTTCCCAGAGCATTTTATAATCATATTTGTGAGGGATCAAATGTTTGCTCTACTTGAGTTTGCCTTCATACTGAACTTTCTGCAGGAAACCAGACAGGCAGTTGGGACTGGGGACACGTGTTGAATTTCAGATATCAAGTCAACCAGCCTTTTTTCGGCTGAACTTTGGATCCTTTTGGGCTGGAGCAGATTAAATTTACCTTGCTTCAAATGAATGTGAGATGCTTTTCTGACAGAATAAGGCTCCTGTGTCATCTCATTTCTACAGGATAGACATGCTCAGCCCCAGAAGGCCTCCAAACTGGTCATCAGGCTTGTCTTCTTGGAGAGCTGTACTGAGGAAACAGTTTGGCCCTCACCGTGCTGCAGAATCAAGTTGTGAGGAATTAAAGCAGTTGTAAATGGAGCTCTTTGAGAGAAAGTTATTGTACGGCAGAAGGGCTGTATGGGCTAAATTTAGCCATTAAAATCAACAGCGAAAACACAGCCTTCTGCAAGCTGGAATGATTCAATTTGACCAAAAAGAAAATTATTCCCTTGTTAAGCTAATTGTATCTCCCAACAAAAAGGCTTCAAACTAACCTAGCCCTAAAGCTGCCTTGGGGAGCCCGGAAGCCAAGAGATTGCAGCCAGGTATTTCATAAAGCCAAGTCTCTTAATGTTTCTTTTACACTGGCAAGGGGCAAAGCAGCCAGCCTTCTGGAAATACACTACCGAGTGCTTCTGCTCTCTTCTCTCCTTAAACTGTATTCTTGTTTCATTTTATTCCATTTGAGAGAGGGCTGTAATTTACAGGGATTTGTTTCCAGTGCAGGTCCCGAAATATTGCCACTGCTAAGGCAGTTTGAGAAGAGGAAGGACCAGTCCCAAACCTTACCCAAAGACAACGTTGAGACTTTCTGATGGTGAACTCACAAAAATAAGGCCATTTCTGTGTGCTGGACTATGGCACAGAATGTGTATGCTGTATGTAATCTTTTGGGTTTTTTTCAGACCATTTGTCTTTCTTGGCACAAACAACGTATTTTATGGCAAAATGTAACAAACTCGCAGTGTCTGCAGCTTGGTCATAGGACTCAGGGCTGCTGGAGTAAGTGTGTGTAGATCCCTCTGTGGGCTAACTGGTAGTGGCAATGCCTCGAGTACCTCCGCACTGCAGTGCTGTGCTGCGTGTGCAACTGAACACTGACTGACTGCTCGGCAAACCCCAGGGCCCTGAGTGTGTTGTCCTTGTCCCCTTGGCAGCACAGACCAGGATTTCTGATAACATTGCTAAGCCTCTGCTTCCTTCCCAGTTCCTAACTAAGCTTCAAAAATATCCTCGAGTGGGTGAAGCTATCCTGGAGAATGTTTTTATGGGAATAGTCTAACATTAACCCTGAAGAGGAGACAGACTTACCATTTCAGGCTCTTCCTCCTTCATACTTTTCTACTCTGCTTCCCTCCGGGTCCTTTCCTATTCCCATCAAATGTTTTTATTACGTTGTTGGGTTTTTCCATCACTGAGAGTCCTTGGCACATGCAGCTTTAGAGTGTAGTTCCAGCCGTCACTAATTTGAAGACTGTTTCAGCTCAATAATACTTGTATGCCACTTTCTGTCTGAGAATCTGATTCTGCATACTACTGAAGAGAGCCCACAGGGGAATGGGAAATGTTAAGATCCCTTCTAAAAGGAAAAAAATGGAGTCACACTGAAGCAGGTGTTTAAGCTATGTTAGAGGTGGCAGAATTGGGAACAAGATCCCAGAGTCCTGCTTAACTCTCAGCAGCTGATGTATCTTGCCTGGGACCATCCTGTGTGATCTCTGTAGTTTAGATCTGGGTCAATGTACCGTTAGGGTATTCAGATTTGGGCTTGACTTGGGGGTTCCTTTAACCATGGGTACGTTACTCTGACGTTGGTGATCAGCTGAAAGCTGCTGTGACGAGTCTGTTGGTACTCTTTCACGGCCATAGAAATCATGGTATTGATTAAAAACAAAACAAAACAGCGGTGAGGTGAGATGCGGAAAGCTGAACTACCGCCCTGGATGTCCGGGACCCAGCTGAAGCTCCACTGGGCGTCGCGAGACAGGAGAGGGATGCCCTGGGGAGAGGGGTCCAGAGCAGGCGGCGGCGCCCGGGGGAGAGGAGAGAGCGTAGCCTCGGGCGGGGAGAGGGAACGGGAAGGGGAGATAGGATGGAGGGCGAAGGCTCCTCTGGCGGCTCCCCCGCTTCCAGGGGACGCGCGGGGCGGGGCGGCGGCGCGGGGAACAGCGGTGGCGGGGACACGTCAGGCAGGAGGGAGCGCCGGGCTGGCGCGCGAGTGAGCTCCGCTGCCGTCTGGGCGTGCTGCCGTGTGAGCATGCTACTGTCTGAGCATGCTCCGCGGGGCACCGCCGGCTATATAACATTGCCGAGCCCGGCGGCAGCGGCAGCGGCTCCGCTGAGGCACCCGGGGAACATCGCACTGCGCCTCTGCATCGCCCCGCACCGCGCCTCTTGGCATCGCTCCGCACCGGACGGTACCCGCACCGCACCGCGCATCTCGGCACCGCGCGTCTCGGCACCGCGCGTCTCGGCACCGCGCTCCGTACTCTCACTGCACCGCACTCCGCTGCCACCGCGCCTCTCGGACAGCCTGCTCCGCGCGGTACCGCAACCGCTCTGCGGGGCCCGTCCTGCCCGGCCGCCGCTGCCCACCGGAGCCCCGGCGCCGGCACGGCCGAGGCAGCGAGCCCGCTCCGCCGGCCCGGCCCCGCGGCGGCGCTCCCGCGGGAGGCAGGATGGCCGCGAAGCCGGCCGAGCTGATGGGCATCTGCTCCAGCTACCAGGCGGTGATGCCCCACTTCGTGTGCGTGGCCGAGGAGTTCCCGCCGCCCGCCCGCCCCGCCAAGGCCCCCAGGGGCAAACTGCGGCGGCCGCGGCAGTCGCGCTTCAAGACACAGCCGGTGACTTTCGACGAAATCCAGGAGGTCGAGGAGGAGGGGGTGTCCCCTATGGAGGAGGAGAAAGCCAAGAAGTCTTTCCTGCAGTCGCTGGAGTGTCTGCGGCGGAGCACCAGAACCTCAGTATCAGCGGGGACCGCCTGCGGCAGGCTGCGCCTCCGCAACAGCCTCGACTCCAGCGACTCGGACTCGGCCTCTGGAGGGCAGCGGGGCCGGCGGGACCCGCGGTCGGCGGGACATGGCGGGACGCGCGGCGCGGCGCACGGACTGGGCTGCAGGGAGCTGCCCCGCCGCAGGCCCAAGAGTGCCCGAAGCGGGCGGCCGCGTTGGGATGTTTTCTAAGAAAGCGCTTGTACCTTCGTTTCTATTTGATTGTATGAAACTCTCCATTTAAAAGACAAAAAAAAAAAATCTTTTCTATTCGTTAGAAGAAAATAGCTGTTTTAGATGCATTGAGCTGCTGGACTTTATATTTATTTTTGCATTTAAACTGTTGACTGCATTAATTTAATATGTTTCTACCTGAATGTCTGTTATCATTTCCATAAAAGAGTAATAAAATCCGATATATTTGCACAGTACTTATCGGGCTGTCCTTGTTTGGGTGATCCAACTGTCCTCCTTCAGCTGCCTTTCCCCTTTGTAGGCTAAAGGAATTTAAATGCTGCCGGTAGCTAGTAGGGAGCCAGCTGCGCTTTCCTGGGGATGCTACTCAGAGTGGTTTTACAGTCTGTACTGTCAGGTATAAGCTGCTGAGACAAAAATCAAGTTAGATGGATTTTAGACAACTTTTTTTGCTTCTTTGAGATCTTTATGTTAACCTGAATTGATGGTTAAGGAGTGTTTGTAACTGGTTGTGTCTGAGAACCTTAATGCAACTGGGCAAGCCTCCTGCATTCACAAAAGTGCATATATACTTTCTGTTCTCATCCAAGTTGTTTTTGTCTCTTCTCCCCTTCCCCTTCTGAATTATTTAGTGCTGCAGGTTTAGTAATTGGGTAGAATGTGATTTTATTTACTAGAGCAAGCGGTACTATGTGGTCATGCTTCTCTTGGAGTTAAAAAGCATAGGGATTTTCATTTGTTATAGGACTGAAGTTTCTGTGAGGCTTCTGCATGTGTGTGTGTGTGCAGGTGCATGTAAGATTTTCTCTGTCTATGGCGTATGTCCTGAGGAGCATCTGAAGCTCTCTGCAGAATGAAAAGCAAATTCCTGGGCTTCTTCCATTCCTGTATTTTTTCCATTCTCTTGAAATATTCTTATGCTAATAGCGTGATCCCATGGGAGCATCTTCCTGCAGGGCAAGCCTCTGGCAGTTAGCAGGTATTAGATGATACTGAGCTGTAGCCTCTAACTAATATGTCTCTGGTATGATTTTCTGGGGAGTTACATCTTTTATGTCCTGACTTGAAGCGCAATCATGCTGATCAAAAGAGAGAGGTAAGGGCTGGAGCAGAGGGAAGAAGATGGACATGGTGCATGAGAACAGGATGCCTAGTTAGGACTGCAACCACAGAGTTGTACCCTCTGGGCACTGAAGAAAGCAGATGACCTGAGCAAGGAACCCGGTGGTGGCTGCCAGCTCTGGCACAGCTGAAGCCTGTCTCTCTCTAGTTTAAAGCTGAAAAAAATCAGAGGGCATGGGGGGTGGCTTGGTTTTGAACAAGTCCTCCACCAACTACAGGAAGAGTTTTAAAGCTCCCTTGCAGTAGAAGAGCCATCTGACCTCCAGCACCAGGGGAGGGTTGTGCATGGAATTCAGCAGGTAAGGAAACAAATCTGGACTCTGACTCAACCTCCTTGTAAAAAAAGCATTAATTACCCTATCTGTCTTCCTGTATGCAGTCTGTGAAACAGCTTGTCTCCCTTAGCCGTTAGACTGTGATGATTACTTTCTCTGTAGATGCAGTACATATATACGCAATATCTATGCACAAAGCAAAGCAACTTGACCTCCAGAACAGCTTTCAGCCAGACAGGCAAACTGGAATCAGTAAGACATAATCAATTACCAGCAGCTGGGCTTATTTTCCTCAACAAATTCCCAATGTTGTTACAATTTTGTGAGTTTTGGGTTTGTGGAAGGGTTTGCAACATCTATGGGAACATTTAACCATGTGCCTAAATGTTGCATAATGTATGCAGTGAGCTAATGAGCTCCATAAGATTTCCAGAGGTTGAATAGCATCTTCTCCATACTGCAGGCTTTAGGCTACTTTTCAGTCTCCTTTTGCTTTCACCTCTGGTACAAATCCCTGTGACACACAAAGTGTGTTATAGCTTCAAGAGGCTGTGAGTGCATGATCCTTGTCCATGCTCATGATTTCTATTCAGCACCTGGGATTACTAGCCCTTCCCATCCCTGCTTCATCCTGCAGCTGTGGTACCACCACACAGGAGGCTGTGCTGCACCAACCAGCAGTGGAGCATTGGATACTCGCTTCCTGGAAGGGGGAAAATACGCCTGCTTCAAAAGACAAATGTGGGTGTTAACAGAGAGGACAAAGAGGATTTGAGAATTTGTTGTAGCATAATCTTTGGAGAAAATGGCATATTCCAGTTGTTAGGCTGAATAAATAAGTTTCTCTTCAACTGTTCTTTGTTAACATTTTTCTTCTCCATTTCAGAGTGAATAACATGGGAGATGCCAGTGCTAAATATAGGCTAGTGTTTATCTTCCAAACAGTTACAATCAAGGCAAAAGGGTGAAAAGCCAGGGTGATTTAGCTCTGTCCTGGATAGGCCTTCCTGAATACAGCTGGAAAAATAAACCTCCCTTCCAGTCTTCCTGTGCTGCTAATTTTGAAGGTTTCTCTTGCAGTGTTTTTTAGTGTCATGACTGTCGTGACTATGTGACTATCTGTCCTGTAAGGATTTCAGGAAGACCTGTTAATTTCCCTTTAGTGAGGGTAATGACTGTATCAAAGGGTTCTATCACCCACTCCCTAGGCTTGAGATGTGGGTCGTACAATTCCCTTCATCAATTCACAGCTTAAAAGCATCCAACAGATGCCACTTACAGTGATGCTCAGCATGGCAGTGAGTAGGCACAAGCATTCCATGTCTGCACAGGAAGGAGCTGGGAGCCAATCGCTCATGGTGCAGCAGGAGATGTCTCAGGGCAGAGGGGAGACTGAGCATCCCAGGAGTTTCTTCAGCACTATTTTTCCAAGTTACAGGAAATTGCACAGCAAATTTGTCTTTAATGGGACTGTCTTTTATTCTCGTATCACTTCATGTGTAAATCATTCTGTCCTCTGTGGCAAGAGGATCATCCTGTCAGTAAAAGCTTGAACTTGAGAGCAATTTTTTTACTCTCTTTCTGTTTTGTGTCCAGTCCCCTTCAAGCCTGTCAGCATTTCTCCCCTGTGCTTGTGTTGAAACGCTGTGTTAGTGTAAAGCTGATCATGCTGGCGTGGTGGATCTGTACCTCTGCACCTTACTTGGCCTGACCAGTGTAGAGGGGATCTGAACAGTGTAGTATTGTTGCTCTACTGGCATCAGGGGAAAAAATCCTCTTTGTACATCTTATGGACAAGGTTTTTCTGCTCTTTTTGAAAACATTTTAGCTAAATTTAACTCAGTAATTCATGGAGGATTTCTGGGTGCAATTTAGTGTCCACTTCAAGAGGCTGAGGACAGTCTCCTTTCCTAGCTGTGTGTGCCCCATTTCTGCTCTTGGATAACTTCTCTTACCCCTGAGTTCCCAGGGATTCACTGGGGACACTTTGGAGTGGAGCTGTTATCAGGAACAAATATGACAAGGTGCTTGCAATTCCTACAGGCTTCTGTGCTGGGATCCTGAAAATGCATTTGCTTTAGGAGCTGGTTAATGATATCTTGTGACCTTTACCTGTGCTGTGGGTCTGATTCTGCAGCAGCACAGTGGACGGACTGTGGGACACTGCTGTGGGTAAGAAGCACCACACAACTGTTGTTACCTAACCTTCTAAATGACAGCAGACCCGTGGGACAAAACACAAACTCAGGCATCTATTTAATTGTCAGGCTGACAGCGAACAAATTGCAGTGTAAAAGGGACTGATGGGTGAGCTCCAGCAAATCTGATTGCTGTGGTTTCTAAAACGTCAGCAGTGCCAGCCATTTGCTGGCTGCCCTCCATGAGGTTGTGGCTCCCTGACACTGTTCATAGACCTCAACCTCCATGGCTCCTGGTCTTACATGCAGGCTTTTGAGACACCACCAGAGAGATCAGCATGGTTCTCCAGGCTGCGTCTAGCCTTGTTTAAACCTCAGCTCCCATGGCATGGCTCAGCCTGAGCTGTCTTTTGTACATGGGGCTTGCATTTCTGTGGGGGGAAAAAACCTTGGGGAGGTGCAAATAGTCTGAAATCCCTGTACAGAGCTCAGACTGGCAGTGCAGTGATGGTGCCCTGGATTTGCGGTTTGACTTTTCACAGCCATCTTAAATAGAGCGTGCAAGCTGTGTACAGTGCTTCAGCAAGGCTGGCTCCTAACTGTAGGGGTATTTTTTATGCTGTAAAGATGCAAGATTACATCCTGAGCAGAAAATAATCAGGTGTCCAGTAATAACACAAACAAGAATATCTCCCCTTCTCCTGAAGTAGGAGGCCATTGTGCAGTACAGGGAGGTCACCATCTCAACCCTACAGGCTTTATCAACAAGTAGTACATGGTCTTTCACTTCCCCTTGAGTAGCCACCTGAAGTCAGGTGACTGAATTTGGAGGACTTAATTAATTGTAGGAAGGAATTAATTTCTAAGCAGCATCTAACCACATGTATGCATGTATGTGTCCCTGTGCCTGGTCTGTCTAGTCTAGAGTGGGTGCTGCTAACAGCAGAGCAGCCCAACCCTTGACTGTAGAACAAAGCACCTCCAGATATTTAATTGACAGTGCAATTACTTTAACTGGTACCAGGGGAGAAGAAAATACTTCCTGCAAAGCCAATAACTGTGGAGTCAGAGTCATGTAATGGTGTCTCGTGCCAGAGCATCAGCTTTGGAGCTATTAAATGTGTGAACTTAGTAATTATGCATTTATGACTCCTGTGTTGGCAAATGCCATGCGATGTTATAAATAGCTTAGGGACAGATCCTGATTTTGGCTGCACTGGTGTCAAATTGGCTTTGGTCCAGCTGTACTCTGGAGTTGATCTGGATTTGCTCCTTGTGCATTCATACAATTTGCTGATGTTGCTGAGCATGTTTCTGGACTGGCTTGAAATGTCCAAGACACTTTTCCCCTGCTGCATCATGCCCAGAATACTCTGAAGCTTCACACAACCTTACACAACTTCAACCATCCTTGTGCTTTGGAAGCAGTGTGGATGACATATGTCCACTTGGCTGGGACATC